GGCGGCTCACCGATCCCCTTATGCCCGGGGGAAGGGTATCAAGCCGTTTGACAGCTGATGCTCGCTGTCAAAACGGCTTTTACGCGAAAACAGGCGGGAGGCAGCTACAGCTGCGTCCGACGAGGTCGCCTGCTCACCGGAAGTCGCTGTTGCCCCACTTATTAATCCTCTTTGTCCAAAGCAGGTGCCTGATCATGCTCAATTGTTGAACTCATGCAATCTATAAATACTTTAAGCGTCATTCTTACTTTATTCTAGTACTTCTTTCTCTCAAGCCTGCAGATACTTCCCTTCTTGCCTACCAGAACCATCTTCCTCGTTACTTTTTTACAGGTGGTTTGAAAGGAGGGCATCTGTCTTCTGTCCAGTGTTCCCTTTGCCTCAAAAGATCTCCTGTGTTAGTCAAAGATAAGAAGATACTATATGAATTCCTTAGTTATATTTAAAAATGAAAGAGAATTTTTTAATAAAACTGGCTTGTGTCCCTTGTTTTAGTACTCGCAGAGCAGTAGATGAAGACGAGCAAGCTGCCAAGGAGCGCCTTAACGCCCATTTCATGTGGATGTCTGGAATAAAAGGCCTAACTGAAGGTGAAGCAGCCCGTCTGATTGTAGATGAGGCTAAAAGGCTTTTAAAGCACGACTTAGCTCTTTGGGGAGTACAGTGGAACCCCAATACCTCAATCTTGCTGGATCCGACTTATACATTTTCTACAAAGGAAAGTGTTACAGAAGGCCACCGGAAACTCAAAAATAACCACAATATGACTTTATCAGACACAAGTGTCAATTCACAAATTAAAAATATATCGTCCGTTAAACAAAAAAATAAGAGGCAGCTGGATGGTAATTCAGCAGAAGAGATTGATAATAAGGTTCCGATAGGGGCAGAGGCAAGAAATGATGACATACACCCTAGTGCCAAGAAACGAATGAATTTAAACAGAGATATGATAAATTCACATGAGAAACAGATGTTGGATGCTGATGGAGCAATGGAAAGTGCTGAAGACATTATGAAGAGAACCTTGAAAGAAGGCATAAAAAATGATGTTGCAACTAGATTTAAATCTAATGTTGAACTTCATTCCAAGCAAAGTATGGATAAAAATACAATTACAAATCCCAGTGGGATATTACAAGCTGCAAATATTCATACCTGCAGTTTTTCACGCAACATAGAACGTATTAAGAATGGTTATTCTCCTGATTTGGATCTTGTCTTCAAAGAATTTGAAGAAAGCTTCCAGCTGGATACCCAAACAGATAGACTATTACAACAGCAGATGGCAGATGAAACTGCTAACAAGCAACAAATCAAAGACAAAAAACTGGTAGCCAGTCTAACACAGCGAAACTGCATTGGTATAAATGGTACCAATATGTCAGAAGAAAATGCTATATGTATTAAGGATAAACTAGAGTGTGGAAAAGCACATTCAGCATTATTGCTTAGTAAAGTATCAGATTTGGGGGGGCGTCAAACTGAAAAATACCCAGAAACATCAGTTGGCTTGGAAACAAGCTGTTTTTCTGTCGCAGATTCCCAGTTGGATAGCTTCTTACAGCACTATCAAACTCCAAACTTAACAGAACAACAGCTCACTGTTCTTCCAAATAATATTTCTTTTTCTCTCAACCAATACCCATCCACTGTGGATATAAATGAAGCAAATCTTAATGGCAGTGATAGTTTATTATTTGATGGAGACTTTAACCACATGGATGGCTCCCAGGATGGTGATAACAGTGAAATAATCATGGAGACAATTCCACAGGAGCTGGTAAACCCTCCGTTGTTCAAAAGTTCTTTAAAATATACCTCGGGTGAATTGAAAACAAGGCTGAATAAAGCTATATCAAATAATACTATGAACCAAAAATTGTCAATGGGGTGTAACTTTATAATGTCAGATACTAGTTTTTTACATGAAGCAAAAATATTAAATGATGTGGTTTTACCTCCTTTTTATAAAAACAGCAAGATTCTGAATAAGACAATGAAAAGACTAAAAAGTAGTGAAAAGAATGTAAGTGAAATTCCACAGAAAGATTGTGCAGAAGAAAATGATAAGCAAATGAACAACTCTGATGTTTTATTTGATTTGAGTCCAGGAATGCAGGAAGTTTTAGACAGAGGGTTAAGTCCTTCCAATGATAAATCTGAAATGGGGCAAAAAAACAAATTGAATTTAGTGTTTTCTAAGAATACTACAGATTCAAGGACTCCTGCCATTTGTCCTGGTCAATGTGAATTATCCTTGCACAAAGAGTTTGGCAGAAATTGTGTAACGAGAACAAAGGATGAACAAAAGAACAAAAATGGAAGTTGTGTTTCTTGGATAGATGGGAACAAAATGCCTTTTTCACCACTGAATGTCATAGGGTCTACTTCAAAATGCATAGAAATACCAGTTGTGACAAAAACAGAAAATCCAATCTCTGTAGATAAAGTTCCATATGTCCAGTTTTTACAGAAGGATAAATCTGTTTTACCCATACAGGAACAAGTGTTACAACGTCAGCCAGAACATTCAGAACATATTGAGTTTAATCTTGAGGATAATTCACTGATAAGTGAATATTTTTCACTCCATTTATCTCAGGAAAAAGTTCCTCCAGCATCTTGCAGTGCTGATAATTTCTCAATAATTGATGTGGCAAATGATAAAACTCTCTTCCAAACTTTCATTAAAGAATGGAAAACACACAAAAAATTTTCTATCTCTGTGGCTTGTGAAAAGACAAAAAGCCCTTTGTCTCACAGATCAGCTATTGGTGCAAAGTTCAAGCAAGGTGAGTTGTCTGCTGTGTTTTAGCTTGCAGATGAATATTTCCAAATTTGTATTAATAAACTATTTAAAAAAACATTTACAGATTAATTAGATAATTTAGTTACAATTTTGGAAGGAAATAAATTCAGAATTTTATTGCTATGCAAGAGTTACTGATGTCTAAAGTGGCAGGTGCTCTCCATAATTGAGATGTACTTCATATGAAACATCAACCAAGACTGATAGTTCTGCAGGCAGTAAAGCAGTAATTTCTATATATACATTCAACTTAATACAGCATGTTTTGTTTATACATAGTACACAGTGCTGCACACTTGTGCACACATGCATGAGCACACATGCATTAAAATTGAATGATACTGCTAACATAAGGTCAGGCCTATAGTCCCAAGTGCCAGAACATTTGAAAAAATTTAAACACATCGCTTTAGCTGATAGACTGAAAATTGCACAGTAGACATTTATGTGCTAGTTGTTCAACTGTGTAGCAGTGTGACACTGAGTGGTTAAGCTTAACAAAGAAAAAGAAAGGCAAGTAACTTCCTTATCTTGCTAAATGCCTCTCTCAAGACCATAATTAAGAGCACTGTCTGAATATGTACATTTATAGATATAAAACAGCAAAGCTCTTAATAAACAAATCAAAGTTGACAAGTTATGGGTCAGTTGAAGAATGGCATGACATCTGGTCAGGATGAGTTATAAGCACTTCTAAACTGCATTAATCTCATTTCCTTTAAGACTGGCTAGCCATATCCTAGAAAGAGAAATTCCAGAGACATAGAAAAAGCTAACATTAGTGTTATTCTCAAATAAGAAAAAGATATATTGCTTCCTTTTTCATATAATTAATGGCATTTATTAACCAAATATCGGTACAGATTTCTACCATATTATGCTCTATTTTGTTCTGTCAGAATGAAACTAGATTCATACCCCTAATAAATAGGTGAGGGCAGTTAGAAGAAGGTTTATCACTGCAATGCTTTTAAAATGCATATGGCTGTTTTATTACTATTAGTACACATAAAATATTTGTTTTAATGAAAGTATGGAAGTACTGTATGGAAGTTAAGTTCGTGACTATCATAAATTTATCTGCTGGTGATCACCCAATGAATTTATAGTTTGGTGCTATGCTCTTATCACAATTATTTTACTTAAGAAAGACTTTTCAGAGATGGACTTTTCAGTGATAGCATAAGTTAATAAAAAAAAGACGTGTGCTGCAGCTAGATAGGAAGAGACTATATTGGGGTTATTATAATCTAATTTCTGTTCTTTTCAACCAATTAAACTGTTCAAAAAATACGTAAACATGGTGAGGATCCTGTCCATCAACATAATTATTCTCTGAAAGCAAAATAGAATAGGACCAAATTTGGTTTGAAAGCTGCAAAAGAAAGATTGAATTAAACAATTGGCTCCCCTCTGCCAAATCCCCAGTGCCTTTCAAAGAGAGCCCATTTCCTCTTTCTCAGAAGTGTAATCCAGAGTAGGGATGGGTGGAAAGATCTGAAACGTCAAAGAATTGCAGAAACAATTTCCCTTACTACTTGTTTTTACTTCCATTTGTATACATTTATAAAAATAAATGTGTATGTCTGTGCAAACGTTATATATACTTTAGTTTTCCTGGATTTATTGATTAGAGTAGATTTAAATGCAGTATAATAAATACAGCCAGCATGGGAAGGAGCAGGAAAAACAAATCCAGTCACTCAGCACAATCATAAAGAGATTCATTGAGGGGAGGGGGGAGATTCATATAGCAAGATTGTTGCTCTGCTGAATTAATGATTTACAGCTATTTTTATATCTGTGCTGATTTGGAATTCCACATCATATTAACTACATTGTTGGCAAACATCTTCATATACTGCTACATAATACTGTCAGAATTTACTGAAGTTAATTATGTAGGACAAAGATGAAGAGAATAGATGACTATTACACTATTACGGCAAAAAAGCTCTATACCTTGATGCCATCAGTGTTGTTGAAATTCATCTTTCTAACATTAGAATACTCAGAACTTAAGTGATAGTTTATCTATAGGTTTAAAAGATTGTAAACAATACCAAAATGGAAAGACTGCTTTCTACATGAAGTCTTATTGAAACTTGCAAAGGTTAAAATTATTGTAGCCTGCTTCTGTGTGTCAATGATTGCTCTATAGGAAGTACATCTCTGAAACTTCTCTATGAGAATGATGGATTTCCTGTTCATGCCTGCAAAGACTTGCTGGTGGTTGGATTAGCTGTGTGCTGGGGTAGAAAGGATGCTTACTACATCTCATTGCAGAAGAACTCTCAAAGCCAGATTGGTAAGAATGTCTTTATTGTGTACTTCCAAAGAGGTAATAAATGTAGTGTGTGTGTGTGTATAGTAGAAAAACGACCTCCAGAATAAATGTAAAAAATAACTTTATTAGCTAAGCTTTCGTCGGTCCCCTGCCGACGTCATCAGAATAAAAAAACCAGAGACTTTCAAATCTCTGTTTTTTTACTCTGATGATGTCGGCAGGGGACCGACGAAAGCTTAGCTAATAAACAGTTGTTTTTTATATTTATCCTGGAGGTCATTGTTTTTCTACTGTTAATATGAAAACTAAAACAGTGACTCCTGGGTGTAATCATCTTCAAAAATCAAACTGTGAACACCAGGAGTATATCAAACTATAAAAAGTTTAATAACACAAAACATAAAACAAAACTACACCAAGCTTTCGTCGGACTCCTTCCGACATCGTCAGGGTTACGTGCCAGTCCATGGGAGAGTCCCTTTTATAAGCCACCCATCATCTGCGCCCGGCTCCTGGACCTTGTCACCGGTC